CAGCAGCCGACTGTGGTTGCAGCAGCAGCAGCCGACTGTGGTGCAGCAGCAGCAGCCGACTGTGGTGCAGCAGCAGCAGCCGACTGTGGTGCAGCAGCAGCAGCCGACTGTGGTGCAGCAGCAGCAGCCGACTGTGGTGCAGCAGCAGCAGCCGACTGTGGTGCAGCAGCAGCAGCCGACTGTGGTGCAGCAGCAGCAGCGACTGTGGTGCAGCAGCAAGCCGACTGTGGTGCAGCAGCAAGCAGCCGACTGTGGTGCAGCAGCCAGCAGCCGACTGTGGTGCAGCAGCAGCAGCCGACTGTGGTGCAGCAGCAGCAGCCGACTGTGTTGCAGCAGCAGCAGCCGACTGTGGTGCAGCAGCAGCAGCCGACTGTGGTGCAGCAGCAGCAGCCGACTGTGGTGCAGCAGCAGCAGCCGACTGTGGTGCAGCAGCAGCAGCCGACTGTGGTGCAGCAGCAGCAGCCGACTGTGGTGCAGCAGCAGCAGCCGACTGTGGTGCAGCAGCAGCAGCGACTGTGGTGCAGCAAACAGCAGCCGACTGTGGTGCAGCAGCAGCAGCCGACTGTGGTGCAGCAGCAGCAGCCGACTGTGGTGCAGCAGCAGCAGCCGACTGTGGTGCAGCAGCAGCAGCCGACTGTGGTGCAGCAGCAGCAGCCGACTGTGGTGCAGCAGCAGCAGCCGACTGTGGTGCAGCAGCAGCAGCCGACTGTGGTGCAGCAGCAGCAGCCGGACAGTGGTGCAGCAGCAGCAGCCGACTGTGGTGCAGCAGCAGCAGCCGACTGTGGTGCAGCAGCAGCAAGCCGACTGTGGTGCAGCAGCAGCAGCCGACTGTGGTGCAGCAGCAGCAGCTGACTGTGGTGCAGCAGCAGCAGCTGACTGTGGTGCAGCAGCAGCAGCTGACTGTGGTGCAGCAGCAGCAGCTGACTTGTGCAGCAGCAAGCAGCTGACTGTGGTCAGCAGCAGTAGCTACTGTGGTCAGCACAGCTCCTGTGGTTGATGAAGTCTATTTCACCCTTTTTACATATGATCGCTTAAGAGATGGTATCTCTTGCTATCTGTTTTTCGTTTATCCACACCAATAACAGTCTCTCAACATCTTCGAGTACTTGTGATCTCTGTTTCGAAAACAAACTTGCACCTTTTGCAAGAACAGCTTCCTTGATTGCCCTTTTTGGCCACAATAGTAGCGATGGTTGATTGGGGTTTGGTATACAACCTGGCCAGCTCCAAGACACGCACTCCACTTTCGTACTTAGCAATTGTTTCTTTCTTCATTTCCATAGTAATTTTCACCTTTTTTACCACACAGTTGACACTAGAAGCTTTCTTGGGGCCCCATGGTGACTTATTTTGCAGGTACAATCGCTAAAAACGCTGTGATAATATGAAATGTACCGATTGTATGCATGGATGCGACCGCATTGGCTGGCTTGTAAACACTGGCACGCATGGGGCAGCTGAGGACACACGTGGGATGCATCCCAGGCGAATCGCATGTGGCGGGGCAAATTTTTTGCATTAAAACGTATTGTATGCCGGATTTAACGTATGCCGGGGGTCCACTGTATATAATATATATATATATAAAAACAGAAGACATGGTGGTTGTCTAACCAGCCACAGTAGACCAACTACTTACAACCTGAATGAGTGAGCTGTCACTTGGTAAAAGGCATGCAGAAATTCTAAGAATGTATTTAACAAACCAATACTGTCACTGACCCATCCCTTATAATGAATCAGCAATCCTGTCTACTAATTGCCAATGTTGTTCTATGAAAAGACTAGCTCAGACAAGTACAGTACATGTAATCCCTTGCTTAACGAACATTCGATTAATGAAATTTTAAACTAAAAAACCTAGGGCTCTTTCTCCATTTTAACAACCTGCTCCTGCTTTTATAATTACGAAATTTCATGGCAAATTTTCTTTTCCCTATTATTGATCACTTCCTTAAACCATAAGCGGTAAATATCACAGGCACTCTTGATGGTTTAACCTCTTTCAATATCACTTCGTGCCCAAAAACCACCTTAACTAAGAAGAAATTTGGGCCTTGAAAATCCAAGGCATCTACTTTGAATGAAATCGTATAACTATTTTAATATCAAACTCAAAATTAAATGGGGATCTGGCCAGAGGAAGTATGAATGAAATTGTATTTTTTTTTTTTGTATTTTTTTTTTTTTGTGTGTAAATAATCACATGGTAACATTTTTTTTGGTGAACGTTCGTTAAGGAATGTGGAATCTTTAAAGTTGTCTGGAGATATCACAGGGTCTCTCGATTGTTAATACAGGTCTACCATCACTAATCCGGCAATCAGTTATCCAGTTCTATCAGTAATCTGGCACTAATTTCAGCTAGCATAATTTCAAATTTCATCATTATACCGACTCAAATTGTGCAGATGGTTGTAAATCCACAGCAGCAAGTCTCTCTACTGATAGGTTAATTAAGTGTATTCTACCCTAACCACTCTGTAATCTGGTACACTACAGGTCCCAATGATGCCGGATTAGTGATGGCCGACCTGTACCTCTAAACATAGCCAACTGGCTTCTCTTGACGTTCCAAATGAGCCTATTGTGACTGTAATCTATGGTTCATTTTCATTTTGATTGTCATGCACCTAGTGAGGTTCATTTGCCCTACAACTGAAGTTGTTAAATCAATTTCCCTCTTCCTAGAATGGCTCTCAAAAACTGCCAAAATATTTGACAACTGTGGAGAGTAAAATTTAAATGTAGGTGCAAACTAATCATTTTATGTGTAGTGAAATATTTATTCCTGTATTCCCATTAAAACATGTTCAATAATTATAATACAGTGGAACCTTGGTTTTCATGATTAATTCGTTCTAGAAAGTCTAACGAAAACCGAATTATACAAAAACTGAAGCAATATTTCCCATAAGAAATAATGCAAATCCAATTAATCCTTTCCAGACACCCAAAAATATTAATAAAAAATACATCTTATAGAGAATAACTATAATTTTACATACAGAAAACAATGAGAAAAATATAAAGCAGTAATTTTAATAATAAATGAATATTACATACCTTTATTGAAGACTCTTGTTGGCATATGGAAGGCAGCAAGGAGGGAAGGGAGGAGAGCTTATTGTGTGGAAGGGTAATCCCCCTCCATAAGCACTTCATGTATCAAGTCCCTCTCTGGGGTTACTTCCCTCATTTGTTTTTTACTGACACTAGGATTAGCTAGAGTCACTGTACCCCTGTCACACAAAAAATCTGCCCAGAGAGGCCTGTTTCTGGTGTACATAAATTTGCCTAAAATGGGACAAGACACTGTCACTGATCATATTGCAGACACAGCTTACAACAGTTTTGTCAGGGTGATAATTCTCTGCAAAACTTTGCACCTCACTCCACTTTGCACAAATGTTTTGTATATAGTGTTCCTTTTGAGTTCTTCATTCTTTCCATACCTAAGCAACTGGAACTTTTTACCACTGAATGTCATGTTGTTCTTCACTGCTCACTGGAAAACCCTTTTGTCTTCCTGTACTTTTTCAGTGGCCTCTACTGTAGTGGCCTTCGTGCTTATTTTAGCGTTAGGTGCGTGCAAATAATGATACAAAAGTGTGCCGGGTATTTTTATCTATGTCTGCTATGCGGATGAGAAACAGCAGAGGTGCCAGGACAGTGCCTTGGGGCACTGAGCATTTGACCTCGATACTTGATCTTACCTGTTCATTACTATTTTTCGTTGTGTGTTAGGAACCCAAAAATCCATCTGCCTACCTTCCCCGTAATGCCCATGGCCCTCATTTTGTGCACTATCACTCCATGATCACATTTATCAAATGGGTTTGCAAAATCTGTGTAAATCACATCTGCGTTTTGGTCATCTTCAAATGCCTCTGTAATTCTGTCATAATGGTTAAGCAGCTGTGACTGGCATGACTGTCCTGCTCTAAAACTATGCTGGTTCGGGTTATGCTGGTAAATGAAATTTGTAATCTGCCGTCTCATCACACTTTCGAAGGTTTTTATGATGTGAGAAGTTAGGGCTACTGGTCTGTAATTTTTAGCTAGTGCTCTACTACCTCCTTTATGCAAAGGAGCTATGTTTGAGCTCTTTAAGGCCTCCAGTATTTCACCTAGATTTAAGCTCTTTCTCCAATGAATATTGAGGGCTCGTGCTAATGGTACTTTGCACTTCTTAATAAATAGAGCATTCCATGAATCTAGTCCAGGTGCCAAGTGGGCATGTTGTCCATTTCTTTTTCAAAATCTATGGGATTTGTACTGTCAGTTGGTCTGTGCAGTCATCTGCTGGAGTGAAAAATATTTCTGCATTTTCTACCTTGCTGTCATTTAGTGGGTTGCTGAACACTGAGTCATACTGTCCTTTTAGGATTTCACTCATTTCCTGTTCATCATCACTATACAAATCTCCTCTCAATAATGGTCCAATTTTACAGGTAGTTTTTAGTTTGGATTTTGCATAGAAAGAAATATTATGGGTTTCTTGCAATATCCTGTATGGCCCTTTGTTCCATTTGTACTTCTTATGGCTTCTTCTGTTAGGTATGACATCCTGAGTTTTTGCTCTAATTCAGTGACCTCTCAGCTAAGCCTATCTTTCCTCTCTTGCAACATATTTGCGTTTTTAAGCAATTCAGTAAGGAGCACTGTATTAATTTACGTTTTCATATGCCATCTTATATGAACATACATTAAATTTTGTTTTATATTACTGTAATTAAAACATCTTTTCTCCATTTACACAGGCAAGGTAAGACTTCAAGAATTTAGCCACTTTCTCCATAACACTAAGTGTCCAAAATTCCATTCAACACCCAATAAAGTACATAAAGGGCAAGCAGATTCTCATTCAATTACACATCTTAACTAAAATACCAAATTACTTTTAATTTGCTTATTACAGTAAGGAGGCATTAATTCAGTCTACTTAGATCTACAACTACACAGACACAGCTAAGGTAACCAAGTTCCAGATTACATACCAAACTCATCTTCCATGGCCATTATGACCTCAACATGGTCAAGGGAATCAAGACCAAGGTCTTGCATGAAATGGGACTCCACTGTTAGCTGAAAATACATAGCCAAAATTAGTTTATGTAAACAGCACACAATGAATGTCAAAATGATAAACAATACCAACAAGTTGGTAAGTAAGACACATAGGCAACATTTAGGTATCTTTATTCCAAAACGTTTCGCCTGCACAGTAGGCTTCTTCAGTCGAGTACAGAAAGTAGGCAGGAACAGTAGTGATGTGAAGACAATGTTGCCTACGTGTCTTGCTTGCCAACTTGTCGGTACTGTATACCATTTTGATATTTGCTTTCAGACACTGCAACACAATGACATCTTAGTACAAAAGAAAACACCTTGGACAACTTTTTCAAGAGAGTGGTTGGATCTTAGAGGGACGCGACCTCTCAGTGATTACATTCTTTCTTCTACTCTACACCTCTCCTTCCGACAGTATGTAAGTCTCCACACTGTCACTTGATCTTCATATTGTTTCAGACTATGGAACAGAACTCTTCTCCAGGCTGAGGGACTGACAACCTCAAATCTACATCCTCAAGGGTGATGGACCGATTACATCTTCACATCTCTACTGCTCCTGCATACTTTCTATACTCGACTGAAGAAGCTTACTGTGTAGGCAAAAACGTTTCGGAATAAAGATGCCTAAATGTTGCCTCTGTCTTACTTACCAAACAGTACACATTACATTTTTAAAAATATCAGCAGTTTCTCCATCATGGATGGGTAAAAGAAAACTTGTTTCATGACTGTCTTTTTAGAAGGGCACAGATGTTAATATGAGCCATCAAACTGTCACCACAACTTAATTAAAGTGAAGCCACTGATTTATACCTATTAATCCAAAATCTGATTAATCTGTTTTCCTGAATTCCTTTACAGATATTACCATGATCACACTCAACAGTATTTAAATGTTTAGAAACAAACAACTGAATTCCAGTCTTGACATGATCAAATGTGATACTGTACAATGCTTAACAGTCTTCATACCCATCTTTCTAGTTAGAAACCTTCTATTTGACAACTCTTTTTACCTTGCCACCATTTTTACCAGAATACAACAACCCTTTAACTTTCCTCCTGTAACACAAAGATCTGTTTGCACACAAATCTACACTACACTGCTCTTATATATACATGTATACTATTACAAACAAAACTATAGAGGGTATGGAGTTTAAAAAAAAAAAAAAAAAAAAAAAAAAGCAGGCAAGCTTAGAAAAAAAGGTTTTACATATGCCAAGGAATCTATGATGTAATTCAATGTTAATTGTTAATTTTAACAGGGAAAAAAATACCTTTTCAGGATTAATTTTATCGTAGAGCTTGAGGACCAGCAAAACTCTCTGCTGGATCATGTCGAGCGTCAGAGGTTCCTTGACACTGTAGTTACGAATGCTTCCCTTTGTCTGAAAGTATAAAGCCAATCTATTTTAAAACCGAAATTATAATAGGTTAACATTGATAAGTGATGGGGGAAGGGGTCTTATAAAAGAGAAGCAAATATTGTACTGTAGCTACTGTGAAACCTTTAAAAAATTACCTCAACATGTCCAGAAGGATTATACAACTTGCAGATTTCCATGACTCTCTCCGATACTCCTGCCCGTGTTTGTTTTTGGCTGTGCCTTCTTAGACACTGTCTTCTTACCTGCTTTTTATACAAATTAAACTAATTTTGAAAAAAAAAATAACACAATAGAATAGTTTAAATTATGTTCCATGCTTACTAGTAGTTGCATTATGAATTACCAGCGATATTTACTTTTTACTTTTATGTCAAATGCTAAATCAGTGTAGGTTCTTCAGAGGAAGGAGTGGGGGACCCAATCCTGCTTGTTAAATGTGAGCCACTACCAAATAGGATCCACAATACTTTAAAAGTTATCAATTATTATTTTACAGGAACCCAATACAAACTTTGCCTAATCATTATTTTTTTTTTATAGTCTGGGCTAACAAACTGCCTTAAAAATCCAAAGAACGAAAATTGGCCAATACCTTTGTACTGCTGCATCTCAACAGTGGCTGATGCTACTACAACTGCATGAATAATGCCTCTTACCTAAGCCTGTCCTACCTACCACCCAATTAATCTTAAAATCCTAGCCAAAATACTTTGATACACTGGTAGCTATCACTGGACTTCACTACTATGTCGCATGAACAATGAGATGCTAACCTTCTAACCACGGCAATGGCAATATTAGTTAATTACTCTACATTTTGGCAGTATTCATCTGTACAATAATTATTGTTAGCATTTATATAGAAGTAACTTTCTTTTATTTATTATCACTCAGTACACAAATACTGTACATTAGAAAAAGACAACAAAGTCAATCAATATTTATGGTACAATAATATATCCATTAGGATTTCTAAGCTGTGTATATTTAGACCCATTATTGAATACTACAGTGGTACCTCAGTATATGTCCTTAATCCGTTCCAAGACCTTTGACTTATACCAAACAGGACGTATACCAAACAAACTTTCCCATAAGAAATACAGTGGATCCCCGCATACCGTTGGCCTTACATAACGTTAAATCCGCATACCGATACTTTTATCGCTAAGATTTTGCCTCGCATACTGCTAAAAAACCCGCTCAACGCTGTTCGTCCGAGATGTGTCTAATGTGCGGCCTGAGTCAGCCTCACATGTTCCGCCGGTGGCACTGTTTACAAGCCAGCCTCCGCGGTAACATCCAAGCATACAATCGTAACATTTCGTATTATTAGTGTTTTTGGTGATTTTATCTGCAAAATAAGTGGCCATGGGCCCCAAGAAAGCTTCTAGTGCCAACCCTGTGGTAAAAAGGGTGAGAAATATTATCGAGATACTGTGGTACCATGGTCAACTGCTGCTGCTGCTGTAGCACCATCAGCTGCTGCTGCTGCTGCTGTAGCACCATCACTGCTGCTGCGCTGCTGTAGCACGTGCTGCTGCTGCAGCACCGTCAGCTGCTGCTGCTGCTGCTGTAGCACCGTCAGCTGCTGCTGCTGCTGCTGTAGCACCGTCAGCTGCTGCTGCTGCTGCTGTAGCACCGTCAGCTGCTGCTGCTGCTGCTGTAGCACCGTCAGCTGCTGCTGCTGCTGCTGTTAGCACCGTCAGCTGCTGCTGCTGCTGCTGTAGCACCGTCAGCTGCTGCTGCTGCTGTAGCACCGTCAGCTGCTGCTGCTGCTTCTGCACCCCCGTCCAGCTGCTGCTGCACCCCACCGTCAGTGCTGCTGCTGCTGCTGTAGTAACCGTCAGCTGCTGCTGATGCTGTAGTACCGTCTGCTGCTGCTGCTGCTGTAGTACCGTCTGCTGCTGCTGCTGCTGTAGTACCGTTGCTGCTGCTGCTGCTGCTGCTGCTGCTGCTGTAGTACCGTCTGCTGCTGCTGCTGTAGTACCGTCTGCTGCTGCTGCTGTAGCACCGTCTGCTGCTGCTGCTGTAGCACCGTCTGCTGCTGCTGCTGTACCATCGTCTGCTGCTGCTGCTGTACCATCGTCTGCTGCTGCTGCTGTACCATCGTCTGCTGCTGCTGCTGTACCATCGTTGCTGCTGCTGCTGTACCATCGTCTGCTGCTGCTGCTGAAACCATCGTCTGCTGCTGCTGCTGTACCATCGTCTGCTGCTGCTGCTGTACCATCGTCTGCTGCTGCTGCTGTACCATCGTCTGCTGCTGCTGCTGTACCATCGTCTGCTGCTGCTGCTGTACCATCGTCTGCTGCTGCTGCTGTACCATCGTCTGCTGCTGCTGCTGTACCATCGTCTGCTGCTGCTGTAGCATCGTCTGCTGCTGCTGTAGCATCGGTCTGCTGCTGCTGTAGCATCGTCTGCTGCTGCTGTAGCATCGTCTGCTGCTGCTGTAGCATCGTCTGCTGCTGCTGTAGCATCGTCTGCTGCTGCTGTAGCATCGTCTGCTGCTGCTGTAGCATCGTCTGCTGCTGCTGTAGCATCGTTCTGCTGCTGCTGTAGCATCGTCTGCTGCTGCTGTAGCATCGTCTGCTGCTGCTGTAGCATCGTCTGCTGCTGCTGTAGCATCGTCTGCTGCTGCTGTAGCACCGTCAGCTGCTGCTGAAAGCACCGTCAGCTGCTGCTGCTGCTGTAGCACCGTCAGCTGCTGCTGCTGCTGCTGTAGCACCGTCAGCTGCTTCTGCTGCTGCTGCAGCACCATCAGCTGCTGCTGCTGCTGCTGCTGTAGCACCATCAGCTGCTGCTGCTGCTGTACCACCGTCAGCTGCTGCTGCTGCTGCTGCTGTACCACCGTCAGCTGCTGCTGCTGCTGTTGTAGTACCATCTGCTGCTGCTGTAGCATTGTCTGCTGCTGCTGTAGCATTGTCTGCTGCTGCTGTAGCATTGTCTGCTGCTGCTGTAGCATTGTCTGCTGCTGCTGTAGCATTGTCTGCTGCTGCTGTAGCACTGTCTGCTGCTGCTGTAGCACTGTCTGCTGCTGCTGTAGCACTGTCTGCTGCTGCTGTAGCACTGTCTGCTGCTGCTGCTGCTGTAGCACCATTGTTGGTGTGGCTTATTGAGAATACCAAGAAACAATTAACCCCAGAGGGTTAGCCACCCAGGATAACCCAAAAAAGTGTGTCATCGAAGACTGTCTAACTTGTTTCCATTGGGGTCCTTAATCTTGTCTCCCAGGATGCAACTCACACCAGTCGACTAACACCCAGGTGAACAGGGAAAAACGCCTGGAACTAGTGCTCATATCGATGAATTTAAAGCCAGCAAAGGTTGGTTTGAGAGATTTAAGAATTGTAGTGGCATACACAGTGTGATAAGGCCTGTTCTGGAAGAAAATGCCAAACAGGACCTACAGTACTCAGGAGGAAAAGGCACTCCCAGGACACAGTGTCTCATCAGTCATTGCTGCATCTTCAATAAAGGTAAGTGTCATTTATTCTTCATTTAGTAGAGTAGTACATGTGCAATATATACTGTGCATGTACTACTCTACTATTGTGCATGTATCCTTCTCTTTGTGTGTAGGAAAATGTATATTTCATGTGGTAAAATTTTTTTTTTCATACTTTTGGGTGTCTTGCACGGGTTAATTTGATTTCCATTATTTCTTATGGGGAAAATTCATTCGCATAACGATAATTTCGCATAACAATGAGCTCTCATGAACGGATTAATATCGTTATGCGGGGGTCCACTGTATAGGGAAAATTATTAATCCGTTCCCATGAAAAAATCCTATTGTTATTGGAATATTATACATTGATGGGGTTGTATAAAATAACTTAAACACTGCTTTAATACTAAAATACATACATAAATACAAAAGAATTAGAAGAAATAAATGCAAATTTAACTTCACTCTACTTTGCTGAAAAAGAGTCGAGTGCCTACTAGGATAGTGCTGAGAAGGGAGGAGGAGGAAATGTTACTCTGAAAGGAGAGTCCCCTTCTCTTTTCTGTCTCTTTTTTCCTATCTGGACGTGGTTGAAGCTCACCAGGTTTGACTTTTACTACAAATCTGTCCAAAGAACTTCTTTGTTGGGTTTATCAGGGCCACTGACAGCAGAAGCTGTATCGAGCCTGGTTTCTCGATGGTACAAGAAAAAATTGTTGCCCAAGGCTGGGCGATGAGAGAGAAGGAACAAAAGTTCCTTTGTAAATAGAGATAGAAACTTGAAGTTTCCAATTAGATCCAGTGGACCCCCTTGCCAAGCCCCAGCAGAGGGATGCCCACACTTCCACCTGAGTTCAGTAACCGGCTTCCCACCAAAGACCGTTAAAGAATTTTCCACAGAGCGGAAGAAAATGGAGCTGGCTAAAAGTAAGCTGATGAACAGGTGCCCCTCCTGTATAGTGCCCGGCGGGCAAAATAGACGAGGACAAGCGTCCCAGAGAGAACGGCGGAAATTTGTCACTGATACACAGGCGAGAGAGAGAGAGACATCTACACCTGATGAAGGCTGGCGCAGAAGTCCTCCAAAGAACTTTGCTTCTGCCTTCTCCTCAGGATGTTTCGGAAATGTGACATTGTCTGGTCATTCCAGACAATGCTATTACGCTTGTTTGGGCTTTGTTAGGGTGGTACTTCTCTGCAAAGTTTTTGATGTCCATCCATTTGGCAAAGATTCCCTTGATTAACAAAGTAGGGGCTTCCTCTATCTCCTCTTCCGAGCCTGAAGAGAGTATTAATCTTAGTCTTGTGTTCTTATTTCTCAAGTTCCTGCAGCTCCTCAGTGGTCAGCTCTTCCCTGTGCCTCTCCACTAACTCATCCACATCACTCACATCCAGGCCCATGGACCTGCCCAGAGACAATATCCTTGCTTTGTCTCGACAGAGAGGTAAACAAGGTAGCACGCGGTGTCGTGACTCATTTTGACCCATACAAGTTCAAGCACACAATTTTTATTCCAAACAAAGGAAGTATACCAAGCAAAAATATTCACGTCCAGACAGGACGTAAACCAAGTTGGACTTATTCCAAAGTGGTTGTATACTGGGGTGCCACTGTATTTATATTCAGTCTTAAAAATAATACAAGGTTTCATTTATGTTTAATGCTAAACTTAGCATTCAAAATTACTACTAAAGAGTAAATATAGTACATTGTGAAAAGGAAGGGAAATAAGAAAGCAAGTTTTTATTCAAGCACAAGTACACAAATACAGTTACACAGATTATCGTACATAGCAGCATATGTGAAGAATCGGTGTAATTTTTTTTTTTATCAGTATTACTTACACTCATCCATCATATATTTTATTAAGGCATAACTAAGTGAAAATATATTTCCATTTCACTTCCACCAGAATTTACTACACATATTGAAGCCACTCTCCTTGGCACACTGATTTAATGCAACAAATGACAGTTCAAAGACCTAAGCAGGAAAAACAAGTTTCACCAGCAGTGGATCAAATCCCACTGTGGGGTATTATTATAATTATTATAATCATGGGAGAGTGCTAAACCCATAGGATTATACAGTGCATGTGGGAGGGACAGAAGGCATTCAGGCTCAATTCAGGGAACTGGAGCACAAACCCGATTCCTTGGATCAAGAGCCCCTCACCAACATCAAGGAACCTCCCTTGAGGGGCCACTGTGGGGTAAAACTTCTTAAAATCAATGTTTATCTCTACTTAACTGAGCTGAGTTTCTTCCTTCAGATCAAACCTTATTGCCTCCCATTCCCCAGATGCTAAATGGCTCCTACAGTTCTAGAACTTCCTCAAATATACTGAGCTAAACATCACCTAAATGATACATGTGCAATGTTAGAAAATCAGAATAAAAATTTCACCCATCAGTTTTATCAATCTACTGGAATTATATGCCAGTCAGAGACTATCAATCCATTGGACTAACAAATCTCTGATGGCAGAAAAATACAGACATCAAGTTCCTGTTACACGTTCTTATTTACGCAATTTTCAATATAATTTTTTTATACGTATGACTTGGCTAGATCAATTTTCAATATAAAGGTAACTGAAAGCGTATACTCTTTGACAAATCAATAAGATGAAAAGTATAGCCTCTCCTCTTCGATACAAACACCCTCTCAGGTAATACATAATAAATTATGAGGGAAAGTGACCAAAATTTGACCAATTTGGTAATGATCAGCTGATGTAAACAGAGCAAAGTACCGGTGAAACATTACCTGCTGCAGGAGGCTCCTGTCGCAGGTGCTGGGCTCCCTGACGGCGAGTGTGTGCAGGCAGCTCACTCTGCAGGCTCGAGGAACACCAGCACGCAACACTGAGGGCATCACCAGGGTAGCAAGGCGCAGAGATCGTGGTATTAAGGCCATCTTTGTAGAGGTCAAGCCGTGATGTCTGCTGCCTTGCTGCTGCCAGCTCACTGAGGCAGCTCACTCCCTCATTCTCGTGTATAACATTTATTCAAAGACACTTTAAATAGGAAAATAATTCATCTTACAAATTTTCACGTATAGTGAAGCTTTACCAAGTACTCGATAAAGCTCCAAGGTAGGTAAGACGTCATAAAACAAACGTTTTCCTTGCTTAAAGTGTCTTTGAATAAGCATCTTTCAGTATATAACGCCTTGCTGGCAACTTCGCCCCGGTGAACCACCTATACACTCCATCTGAAAATTATATATATTTACCCGCTCAGTCTTTACTACCTTCAAGGGAGGTTCCTTGACGTTGGTGAGGGGGCTCTTGATCTAGGAAATTGGATCTGTGCTCCGGTTCCCTGAATTGAGCCGGAATACCTTCCATCCCCCCCACATGCGCTGTATAATCCTACGGGTTTAGCGCTCCCCCATGATTATAATAAATCAATCTCTGATTTGATGCTGCCGAAGGGCTCTTGATCCACGGAATTGGCATTATCATCCCCTTTCTCTGATTGGTCCTAATTACCACCTGCTTCCCCAGGAACTATATAACCCTTATGGGTTTAGCGTCTCCAACAGCATATTAAAATGGTATAAAATACCGACACCGATTGTATTATATTATCCAAGGTTAAGTTCTATATAATTTATTATACAAGGCCATTACTAGCAATAAATACAAATTTATAGAAGGAAAAAGCCAGCAATCTTCACGAATATTTGTCCCACTGCACAGATATTAATACTTCAGTAAAAATTCAACAGCAGCAGCAGCTCAATTTCTACTACTTACTGAATTATGATTATTATGATCATGGGGGAGCACATGTAGGGGGTGGGTGTGATGGAAGATATTCAGGCTCAATTCAGGGAATCGGAGCACAGATCTATTTCCGTAGATCAAGAACCCCTCACCAGAGTCGAGGAACCTCCCTGGAGGGGACTACTTACTGAAGCACAGAGGGGAGGGTCCCAAGTGCAAGCTACACCTGCTTATATCTCTCACTCTTCGTCTCTGTGCCCAAATGTTGCACATGTGTCTCAAAACTGGACAGATACCAAAAGTCAGTGCCGGATCAGCCGGGCTGTGGCTCATACGTCGGACTGCGTGCGGCCAGCAGTAACAGCCTGGTTGATCAGGCCCTGATCCATCGGGAGGCCTGGTCATGGACCGGGCCGCGGGGGCGTTGATCCCCGGAATAACCTCCAGGTAACCTCCAGGTATGTCTTGAAAAGAAAGCAAGTTCCAGCCTGCTACAGCTGGTGTAAGAGAACAAGCGATATTTAGACGTTTCATTCACTTTCATTTGTATTTAAAACCATCAGATTTAGGTCATTAAAACAACTATGTAATTTTATTGAAATTTTATTTAAACGTTTTTGAGAGTAGAGATCTCATGTTAGCCTTGCGATGGTACTTTGAAGATTTATAAGATAAAGAGGATTATTATTATTATTATAATCATGGGGAGCGCTAAACCCGTAGGGCTTACAGCCCCTGTAGAGGGGGGGACGGAAGGTATGCAGGCTCAATTCAGGGAACTGGATCACAGATCCAATTCCCTAGATCAAGAGCCCCTAACCAGCGTCAAGGAACCTCCCTGGAGGGGAAGATAGAGGAAATATATGCAAATGCCGTAGATGAGGCTGGCAGTGCAGAAACAGGAATGAGATTTTATCAATAGTTTTTACAGACAAGCCCTAAACCCATACAGCGCTTGGGGAATTAATCTGGTTTGATCTAAGGAATGGGGAATTAGCTCCAATTCCTTGGATCAAGAATACTTCAAGAAAGGAGGGTGGCTGTTCCGTACAAAAAATAAAATAAAACCGACAGATAGCCTATCATTACTGCCAATAACTTTTTCATCGCGGCCAAATAAATATTTTTATCAGCTCAAAATATCATATCAGTTTTAACCCCCTAAAAAATAATGATAATGAATGAATGAAATTAAAGGATACTTTATATTTTTTTTTTTTAATACACTGGCCGATTCCCACCAAGGCAGAGCATTCATTAAAAATAAGCAGAGAAGAAGACAAGTTAATTAGCAGAAAAGTTGCTCTAGACAACTTAGCTTTTGAAGATATGTACTGAGAACAAGTTACGTTGATTTGTTAAGTTTTGTCTATCAAATACACGATGGTCATTAAGGCTACATGTAACCATCAGTCAAGGCTATTTTAACACCACCATACATATTCAAAATAGACAGTATCTATATATAACCTTTATACGTAAACTGTTACTTAAGGCATACATCGAAAGATACATTTTTTTTAATATATATAGCGTCCACTATTTTCACTTCACTTTAAGGCAAAATGGTAAACATCACACACTGCATCAATATTAAAAAAAAAATGTGGAAGATCTGAACGCTTGGCAGGTCTTTAATTTCTTAAAACAATTTTAAACAAAAAAGACAAATGGACACACGAGGTTAAGTAAACTCGAGTTATTTGAGCTCATTTTCGGTTAGTCTTCAGAATCCAATCTGAGTTACTCCCTGTACGGAGGGGGGGGGGGGTGCTATGTCAGTGAAGGGCTCTTGATCAAAGGAATTAAAGCTACTAGCATTAAATCTGTCCAGTTGCCCTGGGAGCTGAATTTCACCTACTGGTTTACCAATTCCGTGGATATAACAATAAAATAATAATTCATTCATTAGGTTAAACACTTCAGTGGGTAAAATTAATAATAATAATAATAATAATAATAATAATAATAATAATAATAATAATTATTATTATTATTATTATTAATAATAATAACGCGCATGACCATCGTCCTCCATGGTTAGGCATCATAATCAAGTATATAAACATCTCTGGCTAATTAATGGATAAAGCTATTACATTTAAAATATTTTGAGCTGTCCCTAATGTATTCAAGTCCACAAACTGAGTCATACAGTGTTTGGGGAATGGAAGGCAATAAGGTTCAATCCAAGGAAAGGGAGAGCAAGCCAAATTCTTTGTATCAAGACGCTCACCAGCATCAAGGAACCTTCTTTGACTTGTCTAAACATAATTATGGAGAAGGGCTAAAACAGTCTGGTTAATGCGAAGTAATCAGGTTTGATCCAATGAAGTGAGTCACTCCACTCCCTGTAACCACCCACCGTGAGTCACTCCACTCCCTGTAACCACCCACCGTGAGTCACTCCACTCCCTCTAACCACCCACCGTGAGTCACTCCACTCCCTGTAACCACCCACTTCTCCGTTATTCAGCTTCAGGATCTCCCACTTCAGGAGTTGGCACCTTCTGTGACTCCTCTGAAGACTTAGGTGAAGTGCTAACTAATTCTTCTGAGGAGGAGGTGGTGTCCTCTTCAGAAGATGAGGAAGAGGTGTCCTCTTCAGAGGATGAGGATGACTCTCCGGACTCCTCCGAGGACTCCGCTGAAGCCTCCCTCACAGCGTTCCTGAAATCAGTCTTTATTTGATCGAATGCAAGGGCAGAAGGTTCACTGTAACTTAATTTCGCTCAGCCCTGAATGAAACACTGAGTGAATTCCTCAGTGAAACCCTGAGTGAAGCCGAGTGAAGCCCTCAGTTAAACCCTAGGTGAAACCCTCAGTGAAACCCTGAGTGAAGTCCTCAGTGAAACCCTGAGTGAAGTCCTCAGTGAAACCCTGAGTGAAGTCCTCAGTGAAACCCTGAGTGAAGTCCTCAGTGAACCCTGAGTGAAGTCCTTAGTGAAACCTGAGTGAAGTCCTCAGTGAAACCTGAGTGAAGTCCTCAGTGAAACCCTGAGTGAAGTCCTCGTGAAACCCTGAGTGAAGTCCTCAGTGAACCCTGAGTGAGTCCTCAGTGAAACCCTGAGTGAAGTCCTTAGTGAAACCCTGAGTGAAGTCCTCAGTGAAACCCTGAGTGAAGTCCTCAGTGAAACCCTGGGTGAAGTCCTCAGTGAAACCCTGAGTGAAGTTCTCAGTGAAACCCTGGGTGAAGTCCTTAGTGAAACCCTGAGTGAAGTCCTCAGTGAAACCCTGAGTGAAGTCCTCAGTGAAACCCTGAGTGAAGTCCTCAGTGAAACCCTGAGTGAAGTCCTCAGTGAAACCCTGAGTGACGTCCTCAGTGAAACCCTGAGTGAAGTCCTTAGTGAAACCCTGAGTGAAGTCCTCAGTGAAACCCTGAGTGAAGTCCTTAGTGAAACCCTGAGTGAAGTCCTCAGTGAAACCCTGAGTGAAGTCCTCAGTGAAACCCTGAGTGAAGTCCTCAGTGAAACCCTGAGTGAAGTTCTCAGTGAAACCCTGGGTGAAGTCCTTAGTGAAACCCTGAGTGAAACCGGTAGAGGTCATACAGTGCCTAGGAGAATGAGAGACAATCAAGTTCGATCCAAGGTAAGAGAGAATAGATCCAATCCCTTGGATGAAGAGCCCCTCATCCGCATCAAGGCAGCCCCTCCCCATCTGAAGACATTATTAATGATGGATGATAATAATAATAATAATAATTATAATAATAATAATAATTATAATAATAATTTACTAGTATTATTAATTGATAACTGATCTCATTACTTCATATTAAGAGTAAAATTCGGTCTCTGAGAGTCGAGCTTTCACTGTCCATCGTGATGTGGCAGGACCCATATTTATGGTAGTAAGACCCATATTTATGGTAATAAGATCCATATTTATGGTAGTAAGATCCATATTTATGGTAGTAAGATCCATATTTATGGTAGTAAGATCCATATTTATGGTAGTAAGACCCACATTTAGTAGAGGACCCATATTTCTAGCAGGATTTACCTCTCGGGGGTGCGGTGAGGTTGTGCGTGCCCAGGCTGAGGTTGTGCGTGCCCAGGCTGAGGTTGTGTGTGAGGAGCAGCGCGGGCGGCGGCCATCACCACAACCATCAACACTATGGAGACAACTAATCTGAAATATATAAAACCGTAGTGTACATGCAGTACCCGGGAATGGGTAACAATTAGGATTGATGCGAGGAATTAGGTAGCTACAGTGCGTACATGAATGGTGTGAAATACCGACAAGATGAAGACTCGGACACAGGTGCAAAATCTCGGTATTTTTATAAGTAGTCATAGGTATACCCAGATGCTGCACATGTGTCTAGTTCCCCCATCTTGTCGGTATTGTATACCATTCATGTACAACTTGTCAGACACAGCAACATCATGGAATCTTGGTACAAAGGACATATCCACAACCTTCTTGCTTACTCCTGGACCATCCCTGTGATCTAGTCCCACTGGGAAATCCCGCCTGCCAGTGACAAGCTGTCGTCTGCTGCACGGCCCTCATCTGACGCCAGTATATAAGCGCCAATCTTACTGCTTGTGCTTTTAGTCTGAACCCACCTAGAACCCATGCCACACTACCAACAACTTGACGGGGCAACAAGTGCCTGAAGACCCTCGACCCTGGCGATGCCTGCCGATGAAGCCCAAGTGGACGCCTGCTGATGAAGCCCAAGTGGACGCCTGCTGATGAAGATGAGAAGCGAGAAGACACTCCCCTCCGGGGAGTCGCCGCAAGAGAGAAGATGTTACCCTCCAGCCGGAGGACCCAAGAAAGAAGACAGAAGAAAGAAGAAGATGAACGACACCCCCAACCGGGGGCCACAGCCGGGTCACCATATGGAGAAGACCCGGGCCGGAAGTACCGGCAAACCTCTAATGAATGAATGAATGCCTGTGCTTCAGAGTCTTCAAGACTACGGTGCTCTTCACCAAGGCTGAGAGACTTATTACCTCATCTTTTGTATATAGTTCTACATTCTTCACATTATGTCCTTGTATTGATAAAGTCACTGGATGGCGAAACGTCTACAAAGATACCCAGATGTTGCAAATACATCTGATTCTTCATCGTAGCTACAATTCCTTGAATCAAGAGCCCCCACCAGAGTCGAGGCACACCCCCTTCTGCCGGACAGGAACGCTCACAAAATATGCACATGCTATATAATGCAAAAACACAAGGTACACACGTGCACACATAATGTACACATAATGTACACACAGAGTGACTCTTACAGAATAAAGAGTACGAAGGTCAGAACCTGAAATGTTGTGGACGAAATGATAGTGAAAACAGACTCTAAATATAGTTTGAAGAATAGGTGTGGCAAGGCCCACGAGGCTAGGATGCAGTAAACACAGTTGCTCAATGATATAGCATTCGGCTCACAACAGAATGGACCAGGGTTCGATTTCCGAGCATGCCGATACGCCTGGGGGAATCTCATTGCACCTGATACTTCCTGTGACTTTAAATAATAAAATCTGCTGTTCACCTAGCAGTAAATAGTGTTGATCTAGCAGTAAATAGTGTTGATCTAGCAATTAGCACGTGCCTGGGAGTCAGTCGACTGATATGGTTCGTATCTTTGGGGACCCACAACTTCAGTGAAGTTCGTATCCTTTGGGACCCCCAACTTCAGTGAAGTTCGTATCTTTGGGGACCCCAACTTCAGTGAAGTTCGTATCCTTGGGGACCCACAACTTCAGTGAAGTTCGTATCTTTGGGGACCCACAACTTCAGTGAAGTTCGTATCTTTGGGGACCACAACTTCAGTGAAGTTCGTATCTTTGGGGACCCACAACTTCAGTGAAGTTCGTATCCTTGGGGACCCACAACTTCAGTGAAGTTCGTATCCTTGGGGCCCCCCAACTTCAGTTGAAGTTTAGTATCCTTGGGACCCCCAACTTCAGTGAAGTTCGTATCCTTGGGGACCCCCAACTTCAGTGAAGTTCGTATCTTTGGGAACCCCCAACTTCAGTGAAGTTCGTATCTTTGGGGACCCACAACTTCAGTGAAGTTCGTACCCTTTGGGACCCCCAACTTCAGTGAAGTTCGTATTTTTGGGGACCACAACTTCAGTGAAGTTCGTATCTTTGGGGACCCACAACTTCAGTGAAGTTCGTATCCTTGGGGACCCACAACTTCAGTGAAGTTCGTATCCTTGGGGACCCCCAACTTCAGTGAAGTTCGTATCTTTGGGAACCCCAACTTCAGTGAAGTTCGTATCCTTGGGGACCCACAACTTCAGTGAAGTTGGGGGACCCACAACTTCAGTGAAGTTGGGGGACCCACAACTTCAGTGAAGTTCGTATCCTTGGGGACCCCCAACTTCAGTGAAGTTCGTATCTTTGGGAACCCCCAACTTCAGTGAAGTTCGTATCCTTGGGGACCCACAACTTCAGTGAAGTTCGTATCCTTGGGGACCGACAACTTCAGTGAAGTTCGTATCTTTGGGAACCCACAACTTCAGTGAAGTTCGTATCCTTGGGGACCCACAACTTCAGTGAAGTTCGTATCCTTGGGGACCCACAACTTCAGTGAAGTTCGTATCCTTGGGGACCCACAACTTCAGTGAAGTTCGTATCCTTTGGGACCCCCAACTTCAGTGAAGTTCGTATCCTTGGGGACCCACAACTTCAGTGAAATCAGCGACTTTCTCAAGTTGTCCCCGGATAATAATCCGGGTAGAAATCTCCCATTCAACAGAAAAAAAAGGGTACTGTCCACCATACGCTTTTTAATAGAGGCCAAAATCTCCCACAGTGTAAACTCACCTCATCACTGCTAGTAAGATCTGGTGCCTGTAAGGAAGGTGAACGACAACACAGGAGAAGCTGTACTGCTGGAGACGACGGCTAACCCACGTACTGACTGTGAGGATTCTGACCTACATGCTGACGAATCTCTGAATGACTCTACTTGAGGCTTCATCAAGCTTCAATAAAATAAAACACGCTTAACAAGCTCCACTTCTCTCTCTCTCTCTCTCTCTCTCTCTCTCTCTCTCACTCTCTCAATCTCTCTCTCAAGGCCACCCCACTTAGCTATGCAAGTGCTTAAAAAAAGTTTAAATTCATTCAGAGAATTTGAGGCCATGAATTGGGTTGTAGTTGGTGGGATGTGGGCGGGAGGGGTGGGATGTGGGCGGGAGGGGTGGGATACGGGCGGAATGGAGAAGCCGCATTTGGGAGGCTGGGTGGAAAGAATTGATCAATTCATTTATTATAGCAATTATTATTATCATTATTATTATTATTATTATTATTATTATTATTATTATTATTATTATTATTATTATTATTATTATTATTATTACACTGCTGATATTGTTTGTAAATAGGAGACAGAATGATATATTTTTGTTTTAATCAGGGGGGAAGCATTAAACCCATATGGGCCGTATAAAGCCCAGGAAATGAAAGGCATTCAGATGAAATCCAAAGGGAGTAAAAATTTAGTTCCTTGGATCAAGAGCCCCTCACCGGCATCAAGGCACTGCTCTAGAGAGGAGATTGATATACGTAACACAGGATAATAGACCAAAAAAAAAAAAAGATATAATACGCAAAAATACAGAATAATATAAAAATTACGGGAGGATAACAGTAGTGAACTTGTATAAAATAGAATGATACCCCAACAGTATAAATACAATAAACATATGAGAAAATGCAATAAGATGAGAGTAAACAGGTTATCACATATGCAAAACAACTACTGTGAAAAAATAATGAACTTCCAATCGCTTTCGTGATTTCTCACATTATCAAGGGACTGTGATAATGAGAGAAATCACAAAAGCGCTTAGAAGTTCACTATTTTTTTTACAGTGGTTGTTCTGCACGTGAGAAAAATGTGACTAAGGAAAAGTTGGGTAGTGATTCCTCTGCAACAGGTCCCTTCAAGGGAGGTTCCTTGACGCCGCTGAGGGGCTCTTGATCTAGGGAATTGGATCTGTGCTCCGGTTCCTTGAATTGAGCCTGAATACCTTCAATCCACTCCCCCCCCACGTGCGATGTATAATGCTACGGATTTAGCGCTCCCTCATGATTATAATTATAATCAATCTGCAACAGGTGGCTAGCAGTGCAAGTGGGGCTTTTACAAGCTCTAAGATTTTTTACATTGGAATTGATGCAGTTGATGGCGTAGACGATTGATTGGGTAGTGGTTCACCAAGTGTATGAATGTATTAAGATCTTTTGCATTATATATATCGTGTCTGCTAGGCCAGCTAGGAGTTTCAGCTATTATTTTTACCATCTTGAACATAAAAATGATTGAACTTACCTGGATTTAGTTTACGATTTTGATTTAGAGACTAAAGAAAATGCTGCTGTTATTAGGTAGGCACTTTTAAAAACGAGTGGTTTTCATATCTATGGAAGCCTTGACGAGGTCTTTTCTGACAGTTATTGAAAAATTTGATTATTATGGACTGTGAGGAACCAGCCACTGGTCTGTCTATTCTGTAAACTCTTCTGATATATGTAAGGTCCATAAAAAATCCAATAAAATCTTATCTTAGTAATGAGAATAAAATCTTTATCCTGAGCTATACAGTTGTTTATCCATTTTTTCCATAATAAACTGAAAATAGAACAGAACTTTGAGAGTGGAATTGGGAGAAGTTGTTTTAAAAGTAACTAATGAATACTGCAAGTTTAAGTATTGTTATTAACACTGATGGACTGATCACATCGACTCCAGGCTGAGAGACTGATTACCTCAAACCTCCTTCTGATCTTCAATTATTCTTCTCTGTATTGGACTGAGGAAGCTACTGGTTTGCCAACGTTTCCATAATAAATTATTATTATTATTATAATCAAAGAGAAGCGCTAAGCCACAAGGACTATACAGCGCTGCAGGGCAGGAAGGAAGCGAGGGCATCAGGTGGCAAAAGGGAGATGGATGAGTAATAGGTTACGGATAACAGCGGGGTAGTGGAAGGTGAAAGGGTAAAGGGCAGCAAGAGACTGAACTAGAAAGGGCTGAAGGGAGTGCGAAAAGTATCATCAGAGTTTGTGGAGTAAATCAGTCGTTGTCAAGAAGTCAATGAGAGAGTCAGGATTAAAGGAGGGTCCATCAGCAAGAAGGGAAGGTAAAGAGAGAGTAGTAGAACGAAGACGACGTTGGAGGTAAATTCTGCGTGCTCGTTGATAGAGAGGGCAGTCTAACAGAATGTGGCTAATCGATTTCTGGAACTTGACACTGCTCACAGAGAGGAACAGGGTGCCTCTCCATGAGATACCATGAGTAAGACGAGTGTGGCCAATGCGAAGGCGGAGAGAGTGGCTCCCAACCTCGGCACTGATGACAAGAAGACGGCCAGTAACCTATGCTCGGTTTAATAGAATGAAGTTTGTTACCGAGCAGAGTTGACCAACGTTGTTGCCAACGGGTGCGAAGGTGGGTAGCTATTGCAGCAAAATAGTCCAGAAAATGGAACACCTCGATAGGAAATTGGTAGGTCATGTACTGCTGACCGTGCAGCAGTTCTGCCTGTTCATTGCCCTGTACGTCGACATGACCAGGGACCCAACAAAAAACAATATCTTTATGTTTGGTAGAGATACGGCGTAGCCAAAGTTGGATACGGAGAACGAGGGGATGAGATGTATCAAATTTTCGTATAGCCTGTAGAGCACTAAGGGAGTCTGAGACTACTACAAATGATGATACAGGCATAGATGCGATACGAATAAGTGCTGCAAGAATGGCATACAGTTCAGCAGTAAAAATGCTAGCTGAAGATAGTAAATGCCCTCGCACGACGCTGTCCGGAAACACTGCTGCGAATCCGACACCCAAGTGCTACACAAGTGTCTAAGTCATCATCCTGTCGGTTCCGTGACCAGGTAATTCTTTCCAGATATAAGGAACTCTTCGCTCACAACTGAGACTGCGATTTGGTTAATAATTTCTTCTCTAGGAACAATGTCTTGCAAACAGTGCGCCGGAGGTTCATGCCAACAATGTTATTATTATTAATAATGGGGAGAGGAGTGCTAAAGTAATAAGGGTCTTACAGTGCCATGTGGAATGACGGGTAATCAGGTTTGAGGAATGGTTTTGAAAACCAACAAGTTGAAGAATTGAGACACTTGTGCAACACATGGGAATCTTTATTGAAGAAACGTTTCGCCACACAGTGGGTTCATCAGTCCAATACAAAGTAGAAATGGGTAAGGAGAGGAGGAGTTTGAGGTAATCAGTCCCTCAACCTGTAATCGATGTGTTCAGTTCATCACTCTTGTAGGAAGTGCAGCACAGGGCCAGAGAGGTGGCTTATATATTGTAGTCAGATGAGTCGAAGCAGGAGGAGGCGGGATCACAGCGGGACCTGCCACTAGTGTAAGTAGGTCGTCGTCCAAAGGCTGGACAAGCGTTGAAGTCTTTGTACCAAGATCCCATGATGTTGCAGTGACTGACAGATGTGATATTCATCACATCTGTCAGTCACTGCAACAAAAAACCCTAACAAGTTGAAGAATTGAGACACTTATGCAACACATGGGAATCTTTACTGAAGAAGCGTATCGCCACCTCTCTGGCCCAATGCTGCACTTCCTACAAGAGTGTTAGACTGAACACAACGATTCCAGGTTGAGGGACTGATTACCTCAAAATCCTTCTCTCCTTACCCATTTCTACTTTGTATTGGACTGATGAAGCCACTGTGTGGCGAAACGTTTCTTCAATAAAGATTCCCATGTGTTGCATAGGTGTCTCAGTTCTTCAGGAAATCAGGTTGTTTATCAGTCTCGTGTCTGGTGTGTGTCAAATACCTATTGTTTACATTCAAGGAAGACGTTTACCCAACATGCATTTTATTTCTCCGTCACAGAAATTTAACATAAAATGAGCCATCGTTGAGTAGACATCCTTTACGACCCACCACAACTTTTCTGCTGCTACTGTTGCTGCTGCCGCCCCCATCCTCACCGAACATAGGAGCATTTGCGGCAGGGCGACAGCTGATCAATTCGGACTTCATGGTCTCGTGTGTCACACAGCAGAAGGGAAGTATGCCAGACACAAGGAGGTCAATGACATCATAAAGAGAAGCCTCGCCACAGCCCGTTGCCCAGCTCAACGGGAACCCCAAGTACAGAGGTCTGACGGAAGTCAAAAGCGTCCTGATGGATCCACTATGCTACCCTGGAAAGATGGATAGCAGATTACCTGGAGCTACACCTGTGCTACCACATTGGCAGATACCTACTTGCCATACTCGGAAGCTGAAGGGGGTGGAGCTGCCAGCTTCAGGGAGACCCAGAAGATCAGCAAATATGAAGACCTTCCACTTTGTTATAACTTCATCCCAATAGGATCGGAGACCCTTGGAGCATGGGGCAAGTGTGCGCTAAAGTTCCTCAAAGAGCTGGGTGAAAAGCTCATCATAGAAACCAAGGGCCACAGGGCGACCAGCTTCCTCTTTCAGAGACTCAGTATTGCGATCTAGAGAGGAAATGCCTGCAGCATTCTGGGCACGCGGCCCACCACCGGGGAGCTGGACGAAGTATTCGACATGTAGCTCTGAGTTGTTATGTATGTTGTTTTACTTTCTATTGTATTTTTGTGAATGCTTTGTCAATGTATTTGTCTTTAAATAAAATATATATCAAATACAGGGGGTGGTAGGAGAAAATTCTCAAACAGCTTCAGGGAGAACCTTGAGTTTTCCCTGAAGCAAGATTATTCTTTTTCCTTGAGTGAGGGTCCCCGGACAGTGAAAATAAAATATATATATTTTATTTATATATATATATATATATATTATATATTAAAATATATATTTTAAAAAAGCAGCAGGCCTACCTGGCCCATACTTGGCAAGTCCTTCTCAAAACCCCAACCCACTAAAAAAATATTCGCCAGTCATTGTCATATATTGATAACGCATTAACAATTGACTTCACTTGA